GTGGCCATAAATTATTGATCATCCCCAAATGACCTGCCGCCCAGCGATGGACATTTTGAGTTATTAGAGTCGCATACATATATCATTGCGTTGCCAGCGGGAATGGATTGGCATTTTAATTGCCAGGGACACATTCAAGTGCTGCTTAATGGCCAAAATGGTTGAGGAATGCATGATTTAGATAGATTTTAAGTGTCAAACTTAAAAGGATAACTAATGGGCACATAAAGTATTTGCAATTAGTTTATCTAAAGTATTCAAATTTTATTCACATTAATTATTTACTAAAAGCGTATCAATTTAGGATTTCAAAAGCTGTCAGTGTATAGTGTAATTATTTCCAATTTTTCGTTTTAATATCAATAACTATTTCTGGCAAATGGAAAGTCAAATGTATGGATATTTAGACTTGTATATTGATGGGTGCTTGATTGCTTTCCTGTTGCCAATCTCTGCAATTTTAATAAACCTGGGAGGGAGTTGGAATATCAAAAATCACTTTTCGCACTTGCTCTCCATTTTTGTTTTCATTGTTGCTGTTGCTGCTCGTTTTGATACATTTTTAATTAACTTGATGAAAGCGTTTGCTAGTTGACAGAGTGAGTGACTATAAATCTGGCAGCGAATATTCCTTTGTGATGGCCAAAACAAAAATTTCGAAAAACCCATTGCCCCGACAGCTCCACGAAAACTTTGTCCTCGTCATGATTTGGCATGCATTCAAAAAGTTTTGCCAGGATGTAAAAGCATTTGCTGTTCTGCCAGCAGAGCAGAGACGGCTGACATTGAAAAAAGGACCTAGCAAAAACGGATGGCAATCAACGCTGCAATTATGTGTGAGTGTGCGTTAGCTGTAGCTGTATATGTATAGAGTGTTGTGTATATGTGTGTGTTAGTCCTGGCGCCTGTGTATTGAACTTGCTGCTGACCTTAGCCTGCTTTCCAGCCGCATTTCCTTTTGCTTAGTCATTTTGGCACTAAAAGTACAGGTGAACCTGGTAAATGTAAGAATTAATAATATTTTAAATATTAAAAGGTTTTTAATATACTTACTTATATATAAATATATTTAAATATTTTTAGTAACCTTTAAATTCTTTTTCCTAGTTGTTGAAAATACTTTAAATCGAAGTTCACCTGTAGTTTTGCAAAAATAAATGCATGGCAAATGTGTTGCATATTTTTAGGCGCCACTTGCCCAGCCCTCTACCCTCTCTCTCTCCCACTAGCAGTCGATGCAGCCCTCGTTCATGGGCACCCAAGGCCTGAGCTTTAGCTTTATGTATGTATATATAGCTTTGGCTCTTGCTATATAGTGGCATAGCTTCTACATCAGCGTCACATCGGCTTCAAAGTCGCGTTCAACGTCAAGTGGCCCACTCGGCATTCCCACTTGAAGCGTAATGAAAGCATTTTTGCCACTAACACATGTGAAGGGCCTGGGACAGGGACGACGACAGGCACTTGCTTAGCTTTAGTGAGTGTATATGTGCGACATGGGATTGACACTTGTCAGAATCATTTCTGTCTACACCCAAAAGATTATCGAATAGGAGGGGGAAGAGTGATACAAAAAAAAAGTCCGGAAAATTAGCCAAAAGGCACAAAATTAAGGCGATTTTCCCTCTGTCTTTTGTTTTTTCTGCCTTAACTTGATTACACAAACTTCGAGATCTGTAATTCCATTAAGATTTCCGTCTCATTGCACAGCAGAAGCAGCAACAGCCACAGGCAGCAGTCAAGTTCATTTATATCCACAGAAATGGGCTTGTGCTGGTAGCTGTGTGCCACCTGGCTGCCCGAGAACAATAAAACACATTAACACCTATTAGAGGGTTGTAAGGGGTGAACACGGGGGTCGAAGAAGTCCTGGCCATTGTGCAAATGGGAACATAAATAAAAGCGACTGTCTGCCAAGTTATGAATAATAATGACAACAACAACAATGAAAGCAACTGAGAGAGAGTGAGAACTAAGGGCCAGGCTAAGGCAAAACTGCTTTAACTAGGTACAGATGGGGAACGAGTAATAGTAATTACATGTGTTTATCAACACAAAACTAGAATTTAAGGCTAGACAATTTTATAGAATATAAAATATATTAAAGTCTTAAAAATAATAACTTTTTGCTTGCTTTAAAGCCTTATTATTGATTTAAAATCTTAAAAACTTTAGCTAAAAAATATTTAAATTAATATCAAATCTCTGTCTGTTCCCAATATGTTTACCACAACTGTATTTGTACACCATGCATGTGTGTGTAATGGTAATTAAGGATTTGGTCCTTGCCAAGGCAGGAGTCCAGTTAAAATGGCTTGCCCCTTTGGGCCATTTTTATGGTCATTGTCCAATGGAATGGAAGCACAAAAGAGCCACAGAAAAAAAAAAACGAAAAAAAAAGAAGAAATAGAAGCAGACAAAACCACACCTGGCTTTTACCTGGCTTTGGGAACAGGACATCATGGCCTTAGATAAGACCATGTTCCTGTGTGTGTGTTTACAAATCTCTGCGCTAATTAAAAGTCATTAGAGCGTGGTATAATTGCATTTAAAGAGAGAATCCCATTTCGCCCCACAGTTTAGACGACATATAAATCTGTTAGAGCTTTAAGTTGATCCACGGCAATTAATATAATCTTATCTAATTACCTGTTTCCTTTCGTCTTTGCAGGTAAGCACAATCCGCAGAACATAAAACGTAAATTTACCGGCAAAAAGGCGTAAGTAGGAGTGTAATGCAAATCCAACTAATGAACCTCGGGGCCAGAAAGAGAAAGTTGAAAAAAAGAGTAGTATTTTGCCGTCACATGAATATTTCAGAAGCATGTTTCATTAGCACTTAAGCCGCTTGATCCAGTGCCTTGTGTCCTGTGTCTCCGCGCTGCGGTTTCCATAAAATATTAATCCGTTCGAGCGGCATTTCGGATGCAAATGCAAAGCGAATGAATAATTGATAGTCGCGTGTGCGAATTATTAGCGGGAATTCGGCGCACTAAGTGTTTGCCCGAAAGTTGAGAGTTGAGAGGGACTCAATCGAATCGCGCTGTTCGCTTCTTCATAAATTTCTGGCTCATGAAATATGCAAGTGCCAAGCTGGCATGAAAATGGCGGAGCTTCCGCTGCAACCGCTCATCCAGCCCTGTCCTGGCCTGTCCCGTCCAGTCGTCGTCGTCCTGCCTTATCCTATTATATCCGGCCAAGTTCTTTTAATACCCTAGCATTGGCAGGGTAAAAGGGTATAATGAGCTTGATTTTAGTTTATGAAAAAAATTGAAAAAAGAAAATCAAACTTTAAACCTTAAATTGTATGAAATTCAAACACTTTTCTATAGGATTTTTTTTTTATCAAAATATTTCTTGAGAAATTATTCTTATATTTTTATACCCTTATAGATATATTGTAATTATATTTTAATGACTATGCACGGTATCCTATAGTCGTGACCTGTGATTATAAATTTCCTTCATCTTTTTTAGAATTCTTCTCCCATTCTTCTTCTGCATTCTCCCGCTGTTTTGTTTAAATTGTCAGTTTGCACACAAAACGCCGTAGTTCCGGCCAGTGTTCATTTCGCTGACTTGGCCTGCAAATTACAGCCAACTTTTGTTCTGTGCCACCATCATCCTAGTTTTCATCTTTTCTAATTTTTTTTTTCACTCGGCAGCTCTGTTGGCTATTTAAACTCGTTGGAAATATCTTTCCTGTTCATATTCCATGGCAAATATTTTGCAGCAATTTTTTAATAAACTCAGTTAGGTGATTTGTCTGGACTGGAGCTAAGCTATGATGGACTTGAATGCTTTGCATTTTTGTTTACTTTAGATGGTTTTTTGCTGGCGAATTTTTCTGATAGCTGTGATTTTAGCTTTAAGTTATTTTTACTGGATATATTTAATGTTTTCGAGCTATTTAAATGTTGATTCGGATGTAATTCAATATTAAAAACACATCTCCCAATATTCGAATCTTTCGTTCAGAAAAAACTTATTTTATTACTCATACGCCACGTGTCTTTCACATCAAAGATGTTGCCATACTTTAACAAAGAATCCTCGCCAGCACACGCAGCCCGCAACACTTTATTATTTATTGCCATAATCATTTTAATGGCAACAAGCCAGTAGGGGCGGGGCGTATAACGAACGCAGCACGATAATCACATTTATAAACATTTTAGCTTAATCAGCAGGGGCCCCGAAACGCCTTTTGATGTACGCAGAAAGTGTCCTTATCAGTCAGGTGATGTCAACTCACTCAGGAGCTGTTTCTGTTGTTGCCAAGTAACAAACAAACATTTTAATTCAAATTTTATTCACTCTGACTCACACACAAACACACATCCTTCCACTCGGTTAACTGTAATAATTTTCTTCGAATACAACATGTGTTGGCAATTTTCTTAGCTTTCCTCCGACACAATCTTCTTGTTTGTCATGCTGTCTTGTCGTTTCATTTCATTTCACTGCCGCAGATAAGAAAGTTTTCACTTGTTTTTGGGAATTTAAAAGGCTCTCTCTCCCTCTCTTGTTTTTTTGGGGTAAAAATTAAAATATATACTTTATCCCTAGCTTCCTCCAGAGTCATCCATCATTTTGTGGATCCATGAGCTGCCCCAGACAACCACTAAACGAACAAAACATGGCTCATTTAATTGAAACAAATGCGTGCTGCGTATCAATTGAAGCCAACGAAGCCCACATAACTGTGTTCTTGTGTGTGTAAGGAGCAATAAAAACTAAATGACAACAAAATGGGTTGAGCATTTTTAGCACCATTTACTAAATGAGCAACAGGGATGGCAATCGTTTCAGGTGCCCCGTCAATGGGCGGCCAGCAACAGAGACAACAAAAAAAAAAAAAAAAAAGGAAAAGAGGGTATAAAAAATAAACAAATATAGATAAACGAGCATGTTCTATTTGCCTCCCCCAGATGTTGTGGCAAGTGATATTAAAATCCATGTAAATTACACACAATCATCATAATGCCTACGTCGGCATGTGTGTGAGTGGTATGGTGTGGTGTGGTGTGATGCCGTGTAGTATGCCATAAAGTGACACCCAACACGAGAATTCCGTCGGACCTTTTATGGCCTGACCACAACGGCAACGTTTGACACACTCGTTACAATAGATATAATGCGGCCAGATAGTCGTATAATGCCACAGATAATGCCAGCGACGTGCTCTCTGAAGTGCAAGTGTACCGGCAGCATAGATACTATATATACTATATACTGAAATCATAGATTAGAGGATGCCGTAATGGAGAATAAAGGCACATCCTGTCAATAATAACAATTTAATGGAACTTTTATACCACAATCTTTGGCTTGGGTTAAAAATTATCTAAAGAGATTAGGGATTTATATAATCAGATGTTTAAAAATGTATACATTTTCAGTTGAAATTAAAGGCTATAATATTTTGTTTATAAATAAATCCCAGAAAGATGATTGTTTCTCTTAGAATTCCTTTTATTTATTCATTCAACTTTGATAGCCACCGGAGAAAGGTGTAGAGTACGAGGGCTGCTTATTGCTACCTGTTTGGGTATACCAAATGCTCTGAGGTTTCTGGGCTGAAATCACTCCAGATTCCCCAGCAGGACCTCGTGGTCCGCGTGGACCTGTGGGTCCCGTAGGTCCTCGTGGTCCCGGCGGTCCGGGTGGTCCAGGCGGACCGGGAACTGCCACAGGAACCTGGATATAGGTAGGGCTGGACAGCGTCTCCTCCTTCTCAGAGGCCACCGACTCGCTGGCCAAATTCACGTTGGTGGGCAGCAGATTAAAGTTGGGCCAGTTGAATTGGGAGCTCAGTTGGGAGTTCGAAATACCCTGCTGACCCTGAACATTGAAACCGAGCTGATAACGCGGCACCACGACAATGGGAAGGGCATTGGCCTGGCTCTGACTGAGACCGCTCTTGGGGAGGATCGAGGGGCCAAAGGCCACGGAATATGGCACCACATAGTTGAGATTCTTGTCATTCACCATGGGTATGGCATTCGAGTAGAGATAGTCGGGAATCTTGCGGCTATCCTTGGACTCCATTGCCTCGGATTCGGCCACCTCCTCTCTGATTTGCGGCTCTTGGAAGGTGGGCTCTTGGTCATCGGATCTGGCAGTGGCTTCACTGGGGGAATATATGAGAATTTGAGGACCTTGCGGCTCCTCCACATCCACATCGGCTGACCGACCAGAGCCAACAACTCGCCGTAGGTTGGGAATTCGAGCCTGAGTGGCGCAAATCAGGCCCAAGATCACTGGAAATTATATATATTAGCTTGAAATTCCTTGGTTCTTTCTTTTCGTAACTTACTAAGTATTTGCACTCCGCGATTCATGCTGGTTGACTGTTGACTTTTGGCTTTGTGCCAATCGCTTTTATACCCAAAACCCCAAGTCTTGGGTTTTGATAAGATCTGAGATCTCAGAACCTTTCTTCTGCGAACTTGTTTCCATCACGGGTGTAATCAATTTAAAAATGCCCAATTTAATTGGGTCAACTAGCCAAACTGGTTGAACTTATCCCAAGATCTCTGGCCATGACTCATTGGGTGTGGTTTTGGCCGAAAGAAGGCTGATAGAAGGGCAGATAAAACCCTTTGCTTGGGTGTTGTGATAAATTGCAATTGTTAATTCGACATGTATATAAATATGTTGGTTCTCAAGAAGATGAAATGTTTTTTTCACATTCTTTAAAGATAATCAATTTCTTTAATTTACTTTCCTTGTTGTATTTACCTTTCATTACCAACAAATAATAACTGGCAAGAGATACTTTTAAAACAATAAATAACTTTGACACTTGAGCTGTGTAAATGATTTCTTTTCAAATCGCTTTCAATTCAAGTTAAAACTCTTTTCTAAACATGATTTTTTGGTTATAAAAATAGCTTTATTTCTTCTTAGATACCATAAATAACGACTGCATCCCCTGCCATTTTATGCTTTAGCATTTCCTACTTTAAAAAACATTCATTTTCATCAGTCAGACATGGACTAGCATAGAAACATACACACATTATAAAATGCAATAAAACAAAAGTGCACAAAAAAAAAAAATATATATATATATATACGTACATGTATAGTGAAATAGTTTGTCGCACGAGAACGAAATTGAAAGTTCAACACGAAATATGTGTACATTTTTAGGTTTAACATAGAAACCAGGCAGGGGTTTAATTGAATTAAATCAGAGCTGAACACTGAACAACTGACCACTGAACGCTGAACGCAGAACTGGGAAAAGGGGTCGCTTGGCAATGTTTGCTGGCGATCCGATTGAATTGAAGCACCCGCATCCGCATTTGGGGTGGAACTATCATCATCAACCGCATCAGCAGTCTCCGGATTTTTAGATCTCCGGTTCTGTGGATCGGTTTCGATTCGAATGCTAGAAGCTGTTGAGCCAGTTGAGCCAGTTGCGCCGTGGCGAGCGCTTCGTTGGCGGCTCCCGAGCGAAAGGATCGTCGTCCCCGTCGGGGGTCCTGAAATCGCGACGGGAAAATACTTATAAAAAAAACTCTATATTTATATATATGATGGGGTGGCTATGTCTGGTGCTGGTGCTACTACTGCCCGCCAGTTACCAACTGGCCACGCCCTCCGGGAACGGTCAGTTGCGGCGCCTCTGGCTGCAGGATCATTGCAGTGCCGGAATATGTACGAACGTGGAGATCGGTCGCAGTGACTATGTGATCCTCTCGCAGGCTCCCATACCGGGCTTGACGATGCTCACCTTCATCAATTCGAGCATCGCCAAGATCCCGCATCTGCTGTTCGACACGTTTCCGGATCTTCAGATCCTGCGCATGGAGAACTGTTCGCTGGAGACGTTCGAGAAGCCGCAGTTTGAGGGAGCCAGCAACCTGATGAGTCTGTTCCTGGGCCACAATCGCCTCAAGGATATACCCAAGAATATCTTCTTGGGGGCCGACAATCTGGCCACGTTGCATCTGGATTCGAATCAACTAAAGCAGTTGGTTAACAACAGTTTTCATGCCCTGAAGGAGGTAAAGCACCTGTCTCTGGCCGACAATCAAGTGGAGCAGCTCTCCCCGGGAGTCTTTGGTGGCATGCGGAAGTTGCAGGATCTAAATCTTGCTGGGAATCGTTTGGAGGCCCTGCCCCGTGGAATATTTGACCGGAATTTGAACCTAACAAAACTGAACTTGGCCCGGAATCGATTTACTGCCTTCGAGTCGGAGCTGCTGAAGATGCAGCCGCTTCTGACGCATCTGGATATATCTGGGAATATTCTGCAAGAGCTCACCCTGAACTTCAGTTCCCTGGACGTGGCTGTGGCTCACAGCTGCGACTTGCGGCGACTGACCGTGTATGGAGTGATCCGTGAACTGGATTTGCACAATAATTCGCTAAGGGAAATGCCGCACATTCCGCAGGCTGGGAATGTGAGCAGCTTGGACTTGTCGCACAATCCGCTGGGCAATCTCCAGGGGAATCCCCTGAGGAGATTCACCTCGCTGCTGCGCTTGAACCTTTCGGCCACCAATGCCCACGAACTGCCGGAGGGTGTGTTCAAGAAGCAGGGTCACCTGCAAATGCTGGACATATCCGGAAACTCGATTTACTCCCTGAAGATCACCATCTTTGACAGCCTGAAGGAACTGCAGTATTTCTACTTTCAGCAGAACAACTGGAACTGCGATTTCCTGCAGCTTCTGATGAGTTCCTTTGTGAAGCGTCGGGATATATCCTTCATGGAGGACATCACGGCTCCGGAGTTGGTCGACGACTATGTGGATGGCATTGCCTGTTGGTACGAGAGCGACAAGCAGTCGAAGAAGTGCGAATCTGGAGGATCGGATGCTGCCATGGAATTATCGGTGGTTCGGAATGAGATCAAGACCTTCACCGAATTGGTGGAGAAGAAGTTCGTCAAGGTTTATCGGATGCTCGAGGAGATGAAAATGAAACTCTAATAGGGAATACACTCCCATATATTATCTATCTATCAAGCAATATTTAATCCCCATATATAATCAAATATTTAACCAACTATTTAACCAAGCAATGAATAATCGCATATTGTTTTAAGTTATTTGACACACGACAGCAACAAATGGATAATTTTAAGTGATGACAAGACCCAATAAAGCTCTACTTGGAACTCAATTTTAATAAAAGTGTTTTATTTTTTAATTTTATGTATTCTTTAAAATCGATTAAAGATCGCAGATCCTTGATGCCATTTTATCGATTTCTTTTATATCGATATCTCTCTTAAAATTGTTTTATAATAACCTCTTCACACTGCATTTACATTTAATCTCTGGAGTTTATTGATCTCTTTAAACTTAAGTTTCTGAACTAGATTTTTCCATTTTTATCTTCCTAAAGTACCCTTAAAAAATATATAAAATTCAATAATCCCATTATAGTTCGATCCACAATCCCCATTTCCCCCAAAATGTCTTCTTTCCACTACCATTACCTTCTGCACATATCTAAAATTCCTTTTGTGCATAAACGTTAAAACAGTTTATCATGTGATAAAACCCAGGCAAGCTCAAATATCGCATTTAAAAAGAAAAAAATTCGCTAACGCTCAATTTAATGCCATAAATATTTTATGCAAAACACGAGCCAGCCAGAAAAAATATTTATGGCATAACACACACAATTCTCATTCGTTTTATTTTATTTTATTTTTTATTAAATGAAACTTATCAGCTTAATCGCGCTCAGAGAAGAGGAGACGGAGGCAGGCACACTTAAAAACCGACAAAACTTAATTAAATGCAGGCACACACCGGCGAATCCCACAAATAAACACACAGGCCAATGGCATTTTTTTTCATACAAACGTCCAGGCAGGCAGGCAGGCAGCGTCAACTGAACACTGGCAATGATAATAATAAATACATTTTGTAAATATTATTCCCTCGACTTTGTAAGAGCACAGGCACATATGTATGTGCTGTGCTGTGCTGTGCTATGTGCCTGTGTGCGGGCAAAAAAACAAATACAGACGCACGCCTGGCAGCCCCATTAAAATATGGCTTACAGTTGATTGGGCTGAAAAGTGTGGCCGGCAACTTTTTGCCACTGCCAGAGATATCAAGTTGTTGTGGGTACATTTTTGTGGGAATAAATGTTGTTGGTTAAGCCAAAGTTAACTCCGAAAAGAGAGACAGAGCGATGATTTATAGACGAAGTAACCTTAAGGGTTCTGAAACCCGTTTCCTCTAAGCTGGAAACGAGCATTTCCAATAGGCATCATTTGCATTTTCGATGCTTTCCGGCTGCCATTTCGATGTTGACTCTATTTCTATGCAAAAATGTTAAAAAGATGAAAGGCGGCATAAAGTATGCAGCACATTTTAAAGCTTAAGCCATTAAGATACAGTCGTGCCTCCCTAACTTGCTCCATTGTGTGTGTGTGTGTGTGTGTGTGTGTGTGTGCTCTGTCTCTAGCTCGCTTCTACCCCTCGCTCTGTCTCTGTTGCTCTAAGAGTCTTACTACGCTTGTAAGCAACTTCCGTTTCCGTTATCCGACGCGTCGTTTGTTCTGCCATTGTTGCCATTGGTGGCTCTGCCGCCGATGTCACTTCCTTTCATCTTGCCCCTGAAAGCTAGTACACTGTAAAAGAAAAGGAAAATATATTCTAAAAGGAGGAAGAATTCTAAGGAAAGCTTAGTTAATGGAATAGAAAGAAACTTTACTTTAAATACAAAGTTCTAGGGAAATAATTAGGATTTTCTTTTGTGTAAATACTACTACTATTTTCTATTTATTTTTTATATAATTTATTTTTCAGTGTAAGAACGTTAACGTGCTTACGTTGTGCAACATATGCAGCACAATTTTAGTACACTTTTAAAGACCCTCACCACCTTGTCTGCTGCTCGGCTGACTTTGTCTTGTCTCGGGCTCAAATGCTTTTTGGCCAAGTTTATGAAACTGCTGTTTGCTGCTTGTTGTTGCTGCTGCTGCTGCTGCTACTTCGATGCCGGAACTCATTAAGAAAACAAAAGCTGCACACAAAAGTTGATCGTTACCTAAGCGTGCTTTCCTCGACCGGCCTGATTTCCACCTCTCGCTCCCAACACTTTGTTGTAATTAAGTTGACTTTATTGCCCAACAATGTTGTACAAATGCATTTAGCCTTAGTTTTTAGTGCTTTCGAGGTTACCCGCTGTAACCTTAATCGAACTTTTCGAGCTCCCCGGGTATACTCATAATTTTATGGCGCAATTTTCTTATTACCTTTATTGTTTGCCAAGTGGCCAGCTGTTCAGCGAAAGTTGTGCTAAAAAACTTGTAGATAATGGGTCAAGGATCAGGGAGTTCCTAAGGAAGGGAGATCAGATGGGGTGAGGCGATATTCTAATGAATTTCCTGGTCATCTTGGTGGTGATTTGATAGGGAATCTGAGGATAATACAGAGAATATTCCATAGGATTTAAAAACTATAGATAGATAACTAACACAGAGGCTTCCCAGCTTTTTTTTATGGTTATGGGATAGCTAACTCTATTATTCAGATACATACATAAATAAATCTAAAATAAATCTCTTGAAAATAATTACTTTTTAAGAGTGTGTCTAGATCCGGATCTTTTCACCTACTCCTCCTCTGTATATCCTTTCATTTTCTGCCCACCTCATTTACTTAATTTCCTGGGCATGCTCACGTGCCTTCACTCAAATTCCCGTTACGTGCCACAAGTGAAA